CGCGATTATGTTTATTACGCTAATGTCCCTTACAAGCACTTGACGGTCGAGAAGGCAGTGCAAAACTGGGTTCAGTATCAGGGCAATGTGTTCAAGTTTCCAGGAGGAGGAACAATGTTTCCCAAAGGAGCAGACGCGTATATCAACGAGCTAGCATCTGTAATCCCCATGGCCAATGGCTCCATAAGAACAGCACTTGATACTGGCTGTGGGGTACGTCTTCTACTCTGAAGAACATTCAGAATCTTCCTAGTAGTTCTTGACCACTGTTTTCTGCGAGCAGTGTATTGTCATAATGATGTTTTTCATGAATCATGTTCAGGTGGCCAGCTTTGGTGCTTACTTGCTGAAGAAAAATGTCATAGCAATGTCATTCGCTCCAAAAGACAATCATGAAGCCCAAGTTCAATTTGCATTGGAGCGGGGCGTGCCAGCTGTCATTGGCGTTCTTGGTTCAATTCGCCTTCCATACCCTTCAAGAGCATTTGACATGGCACATTGCTCACGGTGCCTGATACCCTGGGCAGAAAATGGTACGGAGTATTTATCATCATCATCATCATCATCTTTGTCAACCAATCTATGACCACTTGTTTTGTTTCATGAAGTGCATGTTGATTTTTCAATGTCATGTAAATGCAAAAACTAGTGTGGCATCGACTCGATATCTATGCAATTCGAAGGATCAAAAGTTAAAATATTTCTTTCCTATTTTAAGTAGATATATGCACATGCTTTGCCCGTACTTCTGTTTTTGAGCTAGAGGTTTCTTGGAAACAACCTCTCTACTTCCTAGTAGGGTAAGGTTTGTCTGTGTACACACACCCTCCCCAAATCTTACTTTTTGTGGTATTCTACTCGCTAATTGTTGTTCAGTTTGTTCTAAATTGTAGGCTAAATTGCACCATTGGTTCTTGAAGTTATTGCATCATGTACATTTATCCCTTCAACTTCGAAAATTTCACGAATAGTCTTTTAAGTCACGTTAGTGTTGCATGGTTGGTCTTTCCGTCAATTTTTCTGTTAGTACATGCATTTTTTTGCCTGAATTATAGGCCAATAATGGTTGGCATATTGAAATTCTCATAAGGAATGGTGAGCGTATTTTTTTCCCTCTCTATCTTTAGATGGTATGTATCTGAAGGAAGTTGATAGAGTTCTAAGACCTGGTGGGTATTGGGTTCTTTCCGGGCCTCCAATCAATTGGAAGACCTACCACAAAGTCTGGAAAAGGTCAAAGGAAGATGTCAAAGCCGAACAAGCAAGGATTGAAGAGATTGCTAACCTCCTTTGTTGGGAGAAGAAGTACGAAAAGGGCGATATTGCAATATGGAGAAAGAAAATCAACGCAAACTCTTGCAAGACGAGGTCTACTAACACATGCAAATCCAAGGACAATGATGGCGTTTGGTGAGCCAATATGCATAATATTTTTTTCTTTATTTAAAAAGAGCTATGAATTCGTGCAATTTATCATTTTGCTAACATTCACTTTGTAATGATTTTAGGTATAAGAAGTTAGAAGGGTGCATAGCTCCCCTTCCAGAGGTTCAAAGTTCAGATGAAGTTGCCGGTGGGGAGCTGAAGAAGTTTCCGGACAGGCTCTTTGCCGTTCCACCTAGAATATCCAACGGATTGGTGCCCGGAATCACAGCCGGAGAATATCAAGAGGACAATAAGGTTTGGAGGAAACATGTGAATGGCTACAAAAGGATTGTCAGCTTGCTGGGGAGCACGAGATATCGCAACATAATGGACATGAATGCTGGCCTTGGAGGCTTTGCTGCAGCACTGGAATCACCAAAACTGTGGGTTATGAATGTTGTCCCAACTGTTGCGAAAGACACTTTGGGCGTCGTCTACGAAAGAGGATTGATTGGCATATATCATGACTGGTACATATTTCTTCCCCTTAAGGCTCCGTTCAACTTATTTTTACAGCTTATTACTTATTCTTATTGAAATTAGATCAGAAACAACTTTAAATGATTAGAATCAGATCAGGCAAATGGAACACAGCCTTACTCTTTTGTTTTCTGCTCTACAAGAAGATATCCACAAACATGGGAGAAAGGTGTTATCACACAGTTTTGACTTGCATGACAGATTATTGGTCATTTTTATTCAGGTGTGAAGGCTTCTCCACATACCCAAGAACATACGACCTCATTCACGCCAGCGGCGTATTCACTCTGTACCAAGACAAGTAAGACTTTGCGAATTTCCCTTTTTTCCCTTGCAAACGTCGTAGCTGGATTACGAAAACAGACGGATCTGTCAAATGCAGGTGCGAGTTCGAGGACATTCTTCTGGAGATGGACCGTATTTTGAGGCCAGAAGGGACGGTGATCTTCCGGGACGGCGTGGAAGCGTTGAACAAGGTGAGGCAGGTTGGTCTGGGGATGAGGTGGGAGATGAAGCTGACAGATCATGAAGATGGGCCATTGGTGCCTGAGAAGATTCTTGTTGCAGTCAAACCATATGACTCTGCTGCAGATGAGAATAGCACCAAATCCAGCAGTGAGTGAAAAAGAAGAAAACATTCTGAGAATGAATCAAACTCACAGGACAAAACAGATGTACAAGAATGTCTTTTGAAACTGTTAGTGTAGAGAGCAAGTTTTAGCTTCATAATTTGGAAAAGTATCATATGTAGCTTCTTCTCCATATAATAATGAACTAATGAAGCAAGAACTGTATAATCAGTGTTTTATTTTAGGCCTCTTGGGGACATATTTCACTCTTTTATTTGTTAGACTGAGATTATACTCAGTAATTCTATTTATTTTCTTCTTTTATTTGTATGGATATGCTAACTTAAATTACAAAGTATTTAAATTCGAGATTCATTATATGATAAACTCAAGGTGTAAGTATTTTTGGGACAAATGAAGATTCTTGTGAAGCCTATATTAAGGCCTTAATATTAAAGGCATTGTGTAAAATGCATAATCTAACTCATTCACCAGTTTTTTTATTTCCTCTCTTTTAAAAATCTTTCCTATTTTGACTTTTTTTTCTCAAACAATGACACTTTTTGATCCCAAATTGTTAGAAAAGTATATTTAATTAAAATATAAATTCAATATAATTAGATATATCTTAGGATATAGTTTTGATATATCAAACTTTTATATCATTTAGGTTGTGTTTGGTTGGGGGTAAAATATTTTCTTTGAAGAATATTTTTTGAATTTTCAAGGAAAATTAGTCTTCAATCATATAATCCATTGTTTGGTAGGAAAATATTTTCCTTCCACTAATGTCACCAAACACATGAAAATGGAATCAAAATTTTTTCGGAAAATATTTTACGTCCAACCAAACACACCATTGGTTTTTTAGATCAAGTCTAATTTATAGATAAAGAATGTCATTGTTTGATTAAAAAAATCAAAACAGGAAAGATTTTTTGGACGTAAAACTCAAAAGTTTTTACTCGTGGACCTTTTGTTTTTTTTTTTCTTTTCAAAATGATGGGAGTAGGTAAAGTGTTAGAAAAAGAGTTACGGAGGGTAAATCATTGTCATTATGCCTTTAATGGATGACTTTTTTATTTTGTTGTATGTGATTGGCGATTATACTAATATATACTCCGTAGTTTATTATGTGAAGTATTCCCTAATCTTTTACCCGCCCTTATTATTGTTGCTTTTCGTTATTTTGTAAAGTTTGTCATCTCCTTTTTTACTCCAATTGTACATATAGGTGATTCCACTCCTCTAATATTTGAAAAAAAAATACCCAAAAAAATTAAGAAAGAAAGAATTGTAAAAAAAGATTATATTGCAATTAGATACCAAAAAACTACAATGAAGAATTAGTTTTGGAACATGTCATATATTTGTCGGTGTGATATTATAGTTCAATTTATCTCTTTCTAGTAAACTAATCTCAAAGGCTCAAATCAAAATTTTAGGGCATTTACAATGGGGATGAGGACCCGCCCCACCGCATGCCTAACAACGCAGCGTCGTGGCTCTCTCCAATTGCAGAACTCCCGCTGTAAATGTTGGAGTTAGAAGATGAAGAACACTGCGAAGCAGTGTTAAACGAAGAACTCGATAGAATAACGAATCGCGTACGAAACACTTTCAGATCAAAGTTATTTCGGGGTATACGAAATACTTCAATTGGATAAGACGTTAATTCAGAACAAGCACTCAAGAATCTATATATCAACCCATACCACGAGACTCTATTTTATAGAGTCGAAAATCCTTGTGATCGGACATGAACATTCGCGTAGATGTACGCGTACGTTCGCGCAAGAAGAAGAAAGGTGCGAGTTTGAACGAAAGGTCTCCTGCGGTTGAAGGCTTAATTTCGACGTTTATCCATTATGTACGAGTCCTTTACCGTTTAGGACTCCGGTCACGAAAATCTTAAGGATTTTCTTAAAGAAACAACGTCCGAAATAAAAAATTTCCAAACTGTCCCGGCAGCTCGACCCCGGCCAGGGGCTCTGCCCCTTGGACCCCGCCAGGGGCTGCCGCCCCTTGGACCCCGCTACCCGGGGGCTGCCGCCCCCGAACCCCGTAGTGAATTTATAATATCGTTGAACGAGCGCGCACTCCGCGCCTCCTAACTCGTTTGACAACGTCTATTTAAATTCTTGTCCGATCAAAGTAAATCCAATTACACAAAATAAATTGATGACACTAAAATCACCAACAGTAAATCCCGCCCCGTCACACGCCCCATCGGTGGCGCTGAGCCGGTCTGAAATCCCGGCTCAAATTTGCGGTGGCCGCCCACTGCAGCGGTGTGCCGCGACTCCAAATTTCATTTTTTATGTGCTCGGCTTCTTTTTCCTTCCTGAACAATTTTTCCGGGTGATAGTGTTATAAAATTTTAGGGTGGAACGAAAAATCTGTAGAATGATGATGTGACAGAAGTTGAGGCGGAACTGAATACCCCATTCTAAATGCTCTTAGAACCCTAAATTGGGGGCCTTATCTATCCCCTTTTAAAGAAATGTGGAAGTTTGGAACACAGGTAGGAAACCACGAGGGCAGTGTCCAATCACGTGGAAAACCAAAACGTACAATCCAAAGGAGCTAAAACACGAGCTACCGCCCAACAAAGTCCCCCCCACAGCCACATCTATCTGGCGGAGAGCGGATCCGAACGACCACATCGCGACACCACCGGACTCCCATTTCTTTCTTTCTGCCGCCTTGCAATCTCCCCGTCCTCCTCCCTCCCATCCGGCGGCCTCTACCCGATCTCGTACGTTCTTTTTTTATTCCCTTTAAGAAAAAAAGTATACTTTTTCTTGTTTTTAAAAAAACCCAATTGCAGTTTTTCACTTTTTAATTCGAATTTTGCCTCGGATAAGCTCAATTGACGAACCCACTCTCAGAATCTTGTGAAATCAAATATTATATATTGGCATTTGATTGTTAGATCCACCGGCCAACCACTCCCTGAAAACAAAAAAAAAAAGAATCGGCTTTTGAATCCATTCCAATTTCATCGTGCGGGCATTTTTTCCAGTTCGGTAGTGCTGATTTGATATTCATTTGTCAATACGAGTTCGAATTTATCCATGCCCGATTTTCTGTATTGATATTTGATTTCATGGGGGTGCGTCAATTTCTGTGCTTTTTCTGTTTGGTGTAGAAACAGGAGGAGTTAGCTGAGAATTGTGCAAGGAGTTTGCGGGGGGTATTATTATTATTATTTGCTGGAATTTTGTTTGGAGAATGGCTTGTAAAGGGTTCTTCGAATGCTTGTTGAAGCTTATGAACTTCTTCTTGACCCTTATTGGTCTGGCAATGATTGGATATGGAGTGTATCTCTTTGTGGAATACAAAAATCATTCTTCATCTGTTCATGGAGGCCTTATGGACGCTCCCGGTTATGAGGTGGTTCAGCTCGGTCGCCCTATGCTAATGGCTGTCTCTTTGGGTGACAACATATTCGATAAGCTCCCGAATGCATGGTATGCAGTTTCTTTCTTTATTCTTGACCAACATATTGAAACTTTGTGGGACACCATATTTTGATTAGCTCATGATTGCATGATACAGATTATTCAAATAAGTGTTGTTTTCCGTCCCCAAAATGTCCCTGGTTTGGGTCCTTCGGGACGTCTTGACACCCAAATGCTTTGTTAAATTTGGAAAAAAATCATATTTCCCCGTTCATGAGCCTGTCACCGTGCATCTTCGGTATTGGCATGCACCTTTTTTGTTGTTTTTATTAGAGGATGGTTGTTTTTTGTGCGCTTAGGAACGGTAGATTTGAGCTTATGATTCATTGAACAAGGTAGGGGTACTTGAATCCCATCATCATCAGCATCAACATCCCCACCTCGACCTTAACCTTTGTAAGAAAGTTGCAACAAGCAGGGCATCCATTGCTAAACATTGGCAATATGCTTTTTTGGCATGAATTTATATTGTTGAATAGATTATTTGACTCTTTAAATCTCATGTCACAAACCCCAAGCTCAACTAGTTAGGTTTAACTCCGGTAATGATGCTGTTGTAATGTAACGCCCATCTTGTTTCTTAATAATGATATGTCAAATCCATCTTATTGTGTGTTATTCAACCTGAACTGCACCGTCTCTCGAAGCTGTTACTTTCCAACCGCCGTAAACGCTTTCTGTGTACTTAGACCAAAGTGCCAAACATATCTTTTACTTGATGAATAATATTGTGATGCTTATTATTTGCTATTAGACAAACTCAGATTTGTCTTTCGTCCATATTTATCTGTGGCTTATTGGTTCGCTGCTTACATGATTCTTTGATTATTTTCCACATACCAACATACGGTGAACCTTCATTCCCGCGTAGGGGTAAGGTTTGTGTACATATACCTTCACCGGACGCTAGTTTTTATTGGATTTTACTTGTTTCGTTGTTGTATGGTGAACTTTCATTGGAAGATATGTCTTTAGGTATACGTGAATTACTTTGCTTTGCTCTTGCAGGTTCATATATTTGTTCATCGCTGTTGGAATAGTTATATGTGTAATATCTTGCATTGGCTGCATTGGAGGAGCAACAAGGAATGGATGCTGCCTGTCTTGTGTATCCTATTGATTTAATTGATCAGAGTTTATTATTGGTGGGATTAAACTGTTTTGTTTAAAGGGTTTCTTTTTATTTCTATTTTGGGGTTTGAGGGTGCAAAATGATTAAAGGTCTGTTTGAACCCAAAAAATGCTAGGGAAAGAAACTAGGGAAGGAAATACAATGAATTTTGGACGGAAAGAAGATTTTGGGAAAAGAAAGGAGGACTAAGAAATCTGTACATAAGCAAATTCTTGAAAGGTAGAACCGGACATTAGAAAACTACTCCAAACATAGCCTGAGTTAAGAGATCAGGTATCTTGCTAACCAGTGATTAGCTACACCCTAATAGCTACCATCTCCGTGTAACATGGTAATAGTTCTATTTTCAAATTGCTATTTTGGCTTTTGGTAATAAATGTTCTAATCTATCAGCAATTTGCTCTCTTTCTTTTATACTAGAGAGGAGTTACGACTCTAGGATCTTATCGAGGATATAACCCTTCCCAGACCCTACTTTTTGTGCAAATTTACTTGGCTTGTCATTGTTGTTGTCTTTTATACTAGTTAAACTTTTGCTTCCTTAACAATAATCACAGTATTCGGTGTTGATAATGTTGTTGATATTGCTGGAACTGGGAATTGCTGCTTTTATATTCTTTGACAAAAGTTGGAAGAAGGTTAGGGTCGTTTTAACTTGTCTCTTCTGTTCAGTCTAGGGTAGTTTTGATGTATATCTAAGCAGTGCGACGAATCATTAATGTTTGGCAGGAAATCCCTACAGACAAAACGGGAAACTTTGATATGATATATAAATTTTTGGAAGAACACTGGGATATTGTCAGATGGGCTGCCCTTGGGGCTGTAGTCTTGGAGGTACAGATGTTTAATGCGTTTTGCTTCTTTAAAAATCCCCGAAAAGCTTCTAATTGTATGCATTGGTGACTAAAAGTAACGTTTTCCCAATTCGTTCATTGTCTAATTTTTAAAAAAGCATCGTGTCGCTTCATGCCATTGCTAGTGTGCATGTCACTGCACACTTACGGTTCTTTTGACATCAGTTTTGGGTGGCATATTATGACACCATGGCCATCCAATGCTTCGATGGGCCCCAAAGTGGGGCCTATCCCCTAATCTCCACCCCCTTGGCTCGGTGTCATATTATGACACCCAAGGGTGGGTGTCAAAAGAACCTTGCCCATGAAACTCAAACATAAAATTGAATGATGGAGGTGGTATTCATATTATTGCAGGCACTCATATTCTTGTTGGCCATTGTGGTGAGGGCTGTAAACGCACCGGCAGACTATGACAGCGACGATGAGTATATAGGTGTTTCCAGACAGCAGATCCGCCAGCCGCTGATCAGCAACAGGCAGCCTGCTCCCGCTCCAAGTGCACCTGCCGCTGCTACAATTGACTCTCGTCCATCAACTCGGAGTGATGCTTGGAGTACACGCATGAGGGAAAAGGTTTGCCCTTTCTCTAATCATTTTCACTAAACTCGCGTCCTCCGTAGGCCTGTCAAGTCAATGGGTCAAGTTTTGACCTAGTTCCGACTTGGACCTGTCAATCATTTCACGGGTATGGGTTTGACTTAATTTCATTTACCCAATCCGGACTCGGGCCCATTTTGTAAACATTGACTAACTGCGCTACTGCACTACTAAAAAAAGCATATGAAAGTTCAAAGAGATATTTTGCTTTATTTCATCATATTCTAATGATATTAAATTATTTCGTTGTGAATAATGGCAGTATGGGCTGGACACTTCGGAGTTCACGTACAACCCATCAGAGTCGAACCGGTACCAACAAACGCCCGTACAACCCCAAGAGGAAAGCAGCCGATGCGCCATAATGTGAGAATAATATGGTTTGGGTTTTACAACTCCTCTTTTCCAAGCACTATTAACTTTTCAAAAAAAAAAACTGTTTAGTTGTTACTATGATTGATTTGTATGGTTATGAATGAATGTGTGCATGCACAAGCTATGAATGTGGTATGAAGTTCATGTACAAACCCGAGCTTTTGTCTTGATTGTGCGAATTTGCATTCTGTTTCTACGAAACGGAATCGTGTTTTTGACCCTACTCGGAGGTGGGATTTTATCGGGTTTGTTGTTATTGTTACTGCATTGTTTGGAAGTTTGGTGTTCTATTCTCCAACAAGGTTGGAGAGTAGATCATAGTATGAGAAGAATGGGTTGGTGAAGAAACTGTAAATTCTGAACCAAAGTGACTATTGTGGGTTTACTTGCAAAAGTGGTGTTCTAACTTGTTACTCCATTCTGAAATAAAATTCGTTTTTTTTCTTTTCTTATGATCTCAAAATAAATTTTACATTGCTATATTTTCCATAATGAAATTTAAATCATATATTTTCTTCACGTTCCAATATTTTCTGAAATATTTTTTTTTACGTTCCAATATATATATATATATATATATATATATATATATATATATATATATATATATATACACACACACACACACACACACACTAGCATGTATTTCCTTTGTTTCATAAAAGTAGTTCTGTTTGGTCACTTATTTTTATTGCTCAAAAGAATGAGTCCAACCTAGAGCTTTCAATAAAAGTGTTGCATTGGAGTGCTAGCTTTGATTAAACTACGACACGAATTTGACAAAACTACCCATTTAATGTTTCACTTGTGTTTTAAAATATGAAAATTTTAAAAAAAATCATCTCAAATAAAAATAGAACATGCTACCTCTGTCTAAAACTTTCTTTTTTGATTTTACCTGGCATGAATATTAAGAAAAGTTAAAATGTGTAAAGATTTTACATGTGTTACCATACCGTAGAAAAAAAAGTAAGATAACAATGGCACATTCGTTAAATCTTTTTACCAAAACAAGAAATGACAAAGAAATTTTTGGACATTCCAAAAATGAAAGTGAGAAAAAAAATAGTGGCATTAAGTAAGAAAAAAGTTTGTATTATGACATTGTGACACTGTATATGCATTTCATTGTGGTTTTTAAAACTATATAATTGCATTATTGGTATTGTACTTCTATTTTGATGATTAAAAGCATAGATTTCTTATTCTGATACTTTATTCTTATTTCATTCCTAGTTTAATCATTTTCTTCTTTTAATTTCACACTATTTTTTAAATGACGCAACTTAATCGTGCATTGCAACTAGCGATTTAAATTGGACATCTTTGATGATATAAGATAAAATATTTTTAGGGTAATTTACCTAAATGAGACTAAAACATAATAACTTTCTCAATATAGGACTATATGTTTTTATTTTCCAATGTAAGACAATTGATCATTATCTATTAGTCATTATTCAACTAAATGTCTAGCATCACTTAGACATTATTCTTCTCACTAGTCATTATTGAGTCCTATTTAGAGAATAAAAAGGTTTAAGTCTTACATTGAGAAATGACTTATGTTTTAGTCCTATTCAGTGCAAATTTCACATATTTTTATTCATATAGGGTCCCCAATTTTATAAGATGACATATTTTTACTCTAGTTATTTGATATTTTTCAAGGCTAATTTTCTCAATACATAAAAATATATTCTAGTCATAAAAAACTTCATGTTTGATAATGTAAAAACTAAAACTTAACACTAATTTTAACATAAACGTACTCCACAAGATAAAAAAAGGCCGAAAACATGTTTTGTTTTTTCACTTTTTGGGTTTCTGAACCGGACCGGACGTTATTACAGTACTGACAAGATTGAAGGACCAAAAGTGAGCCTCTGTTTTTTTTTAATTTTGAAAAAGACCAAACTGCCCCCCACATTTATTTAATTAATTAAGGATTTTAAGAACATCCCTAGCAATATTGAGAAGGATGACGAGATCTCCGGCACGACTTTCACGGCAACCATTGACGGCGTTAATGCCCTTCTCGATGCTCTCATCAACCGAAGTCACAATCTGACGCTCCTTCAGTTTCCGAATGGCTTCTCCGACGTCGTTTACCATCCCCGCGTACGCCGTCGGGCAACGCCGTTTCAGGCCGTTCCCCTCGGAAAGAGTCTTTCCGAGGGCGATGGCGCTGAAAACGCGGAGGTCGCCGCTTGCGCTCCGGGGGTCGGACCCGATGACCGAAGCGCACAGCCCCGGCGACTTCGTCTGCGCGCACGCCGCCTTAACGCTCACGGCGGCGGCCAGCTGTTGGAAAGACAAGACGAAAAAACATACGAGGAAGAGTTTCATTCTGGCCTTGTTTTTCTTTTTGTTTTTTCAATTCATGTGTTTTTCGTGTCGTCGGAGATGGTGGCTTTTTATAGATAGTTTCATGGTTTCTGCATTGTGGGTAACTACCATGTGTGTGAAGAAGCCGTATTTCCTCTATTTACATATTTTCCATAATAAAACGACCAACTCGCCATGACTTATATACAATGTTTTTCATGCTTTAAAGTCACATATTTCTATATGATCTGCCATATATATCCTCATTAGTAACAAATATTGAATAATGACCGTTTATACGAATGATTCTACAAGTGGAGTCATTAACAACGAGTGTTAGATAATAACTAATTATTCCACTCACTATTCAAATTATTTTTTTAATAATGCGCCATTCTACAAGAATTGTGTAACAGGTTGTATTATTTTATAATGACCCGAAGTTTTCGAATAGACGTTAGTATACACCATATGTCATATTAATTATTAATAGAATGATGATATGTATTGACAGAGGACATTACTAATGCCTATTTGTAGTCATTTTGGAAGCGTGTCATTTTTCTGGCTATTAAGGAAGCACTCACATTTTCAAATTAAAGGCGGAGCATTTTAGAATTTTCCTTTGGCAAATGTTAGAGTTATAAGACTGGTTTTATTTGGAAAAAAGTGATATGTTTAACCCATTTACGTAAATTACCCTTAAATCTACTCCCTCCCAAAATTTCAAGATTTTCTATTTATTTTATTTAAAAATTGTTATAGAATAATTAAATAGTCATGTTTAAAAATTATGTCAAAAGTTTTAGAAAAAGAAGAAATGACAAAAACATTTTATTTTATCAAGACTGTGTAATCAATGAAAGAACACAACTAAATTATACGGAGTAGTTTCTGTGGTTTTAAATAGTGAATGTGAAAGTCTTTTTGAGACGGATGTAGTATGTATTATTCATTAATTTTTTTTGTTGTATGATTATTTCATATAAAAAAAACCTTAATTTGACTTTGTTGGACAAAGTCCAATAACTTTGACCATTAATGAAAAATAATTTTTAATTTTTCAGAAAATGACTAAATTATTTCAATTTTAGTACAGATCAGAGCATCCATAAGAATTAACTCTTACATTTCATATTGCAGAGTTGCTACTATACTTTATCTTGTATGGATGTCTAGAATTAACATATTCTATACATTCCTAATTTGATTACAAATTTAGAGTCAAGAAACAAAATCTCTTTATTTAATCATTTTATTTATAAATTAATACATCAATAAAAAATAAAAAATTATTAATAAAAATAAATAAAAATTATTGAGAAGAAAATTAAAAAATTTATAATATATTTTGGGACAATAAAAGTCTGGGCTATACATACTTGGGCCTTAAACACCTTATATTACGACAATTACGTCGTATAGTATTATTTCAAGTTTGGGCCTTATATTACATCATAGAGTATTATGTCATGACCTATAATCGCATGCTAATTTCTTATAAAATTACTAGTACCACACTCATGCGTTGCACGGGTCATATTTACATTATTAGATTAAAATCATTTTTGAAAAATACAAATTAATATCTGATAGCTGGATGGTGGTGAATGCCATCAACCACGACTTACCATGCCACCGATTCTCGCTCGTACATTGGTTCGGTTATTGAGGAGTGTAGGTTATTTTTATCTTCTTTCCGTTCAATTTGTATCTCTCATGTTTGTCGAGATTTGAATGGTGTTGCTCATGCATTAGCCCGTCGAGCGGTTGCTCAATGTGAGGTTTGGGAATCTGTTCCTCCAGACTTTATTGTTTCTCATTTTAATTAATGTGATTTTTTCCTTCAAAAAAAAATAGAATATATAGATTTTATTATTTTCAGGTACAAAGTAATTAAAAATTATTCAATTACAATATTTAACATATACACTCCTTCAGGATAGTCTATGTCATAGTTTTTGCACTTAAACCTAGAACCAAGATAACTATTTTCAATGTCAACCACATCACCAATTATCTAATAATATCCTTTCTGCAATTAAATCTTAAATTTATGTGTATAGTTTTAAAAATATAAATAAGTCAAATCAAATTTTTGGCCACAAATTTTGTTCATATTTAATGGTTTTTTACCATTTTTCTTGCCGAACTAATAATAAAATGGAGAGCTTTATATACCACATAAAAATAAAGGAATATTATTTTAAAACATAAAAAAATAGAGAGGCTAATTACGAAAGTGATTGAAAATGACCGTATTTATAGTATGAAAATTTTTGTTCCTTTTTTCTATTTAATGGCGTCAATTTTTGTTATAATTTATAATTTTCGGAACAAACCTAGCCCTGTAATAAATGGAAACTTTTTAAATATTCACGCCTCTATTTTGGGGTACACTATAATTAATGGCACCATTCACATTTATTATTATTGTTGTTGTTATTATTATTACCATATAAGCATGTGCAAGTAACCGTTGTTAATTGACCAAATAGAAGACAAATTACCAACTTATTAAAAAATACTTTGACTTCTTTTGGGAAATGTATCAATAAGCCTTGTCAGCCCTTTCATAATAATAAGTATAATTTTGGGACACACTATAATTACTCTCTTTTTTTATAATTTATAATTTTATCAGAACAAACCTAGTCCTTTAACAAATGAAAACGTTTTAGTAATGGCGTCTATTTTGTGGTATACCATAATTAATGGCACCATACACATTTATTATTGTTATTATTGTATGGTACATCAAATTAAACACACTCATCTTTGTCTAATTGTTTATATTCTTAACATTTTTATTTTACCGTTTTCATTACTATTTCGACGAAAAGGTAATAATTACTTCATCCAAAAATAATATATTTCCATAAAAGGTAATAATGTAACGTTAATATGTAAACGGTTTCCGAAAAGGAAACAAAATATAAAATAATTTATTTATATAAACTTCTGTTTAGTACCTGAATTTTACAAAATTGGAAGTGATATAATAAAAAAATTTATTACCATTTTTATTTTATTGTTTTTATTACTATTTCAATGAAAACGTAATAATAATGTTTGGTACATAAAATGCACTCATCTTTGTTTAATTATTTATATTTTTACCATTTTTATTTTAGTATTTTTATTAGTATTTCGACGAAAAGGCTAGGTAATAATGTATTTCTTTCAAAAATAATATATTTCCATAAAAGGTACTCCCTCCCTCCTGAAATGATCTTTCCATGATTTTTATTGGTCAAAGTTTGTAAACTTTGACTTTGATGTATGGAAAAAATACATTGTATTTCGATATAAATATAATATCAATAGATTCCTTATGAAACGTAGTTTTGAAATATTAAATTTACAAAAAATATATCTATGTATAAATGTAGATATTAATGGTCAAAGTATAAATTGGAGACCGCGAAAAGTCAAATGAGAAAATCATTTCCGAACGGATGGAATATTAATATAACGTAATTATATCAACGGCTATGTTCTAGAGCCACTCAAAAAGAGTGGCTACGGAAGCCTTTCACCCAATTGGGACACCTACGGAAGCCACTCACCCAATTGATAGTTTCTAACCCCTCTAGCCCCTCGGTAAACCCCCACCCGGTTCCGACCCCAGCTCATCCTCCTAACCATGTCAATTGCCGGGTGCAAATTTAGTTGAGAGAAAAAAAATTAACATCAAAGGTAAAAAAATTAACATTATTTATATTTATTTTAATAATGTATGTATATTATAGTTTATAACCAAATTTTTCATAAAAAGTAATAAAAATTTATTTCCTCTTTAAAAGGTAATACTGTGCCATAAGTGAAATTAATTATCTCTATAAAAGGTAATATATTACCATAAGATTGAAAGCTAAGCGTAAAATATTTAAAAGCTATTAAAACCTTTCCATAATTAAATTGACATTATATAAAAGATATATTGGGCAATAGTGTAAAAAAGTTTCCTAAAAATAAACGTTATTTCAAAACCATTTCCATTCTTACCTTTTTTAGCTTAGTATTTTTATTGCTATTTCAACGTAATACATGCCTAACAAAAATAATATATTATATTTATATAAAAATATTCAACCGTTTAATAATTATAAATTATTAAACACGTGAGCGTTCTATTTCAATATTATTAAACACAGAAACTCGATATATTATTCAATATTCCCTAATATAATACTCCCTCCGTCCTAATTCTTTCTTCCCAGTTTGATTTTTCACCATTTTTAATTTTTGACTTTGACTTCAAATTTTACCCTTCTTAAAAAAGATTTTTTGAATTTTTTTTGCAATCATTCAAAATATAGAGTTAGAAGATAATTGGTGTAAATACATGAGGGTATTAATGTCATTTGTCATCTTTTTTTTTCTTCTAATGGGAAGGTAGTTTTAGGACAGAGAAAAAGGGAGAGTGGGAAGAAAGTTTTAGGACGGAGGGAGTACGTCATATGCACAACTATTATTAATCATTACACATGTAAACATTACTCCGTATTAATTATTAAGCACAATTATACATGGAAACGTTCCGAAGATGAATAATGGTCGTGGATCAAGATTCTGACGCTAATAGACGGTTCACAACGTAGGTGCGTTTGGGCGGGAAAAATTTCTCCTGCTTTTAAGAATAGTATAGATATGGATTACGGAGTATTTCGGAAGATAAATTCATAATGGACCATCATATTGTATAAAACCATTTTCTTTTGCGTCGGAATTTCAGAATTAGATATTACAAAAATTAGAAAGGGTTCCTCTATAGAATATCCCGATGTAATGTTATACTCCCTCCGTTTCTTAAAACAGTTCTTGTTTTGACTTTGAGGGAAAATAAGGAAAGTGTAATTTTAGTTGACTTTCCAATTTTGCCCCTGATGTGATGAGTAAAAGTAAGATGTGATAGTTTAGTTATTAGTAAAAAAAGTATGATGTGATAGGTAGTGTATAAAAAAATAGGGGTAAAAGTAGGTTTTAATAGAAAAGGAAGTGTTTTAAGGAAAACAAAAAAAAGAAAGAAGAAGAGTTTTAAGAAACGGAGGGAGTATATTTTAGTGTAACTTGAATAACTATTTGATCAATGGTATATAGTCTCTTAGCATTTAAATTATACTCTGTAAGTTTTTTCAGGTTGAATATATACAATGTGTTAAGCCACACATTCTCTCATAATTGGGAAATTTAACTAATTAACACTCCAT